AAGAAGAAGAAGAAGAAGAAGAAGAAGAAGAAGAAGAAGAAGAAGAAGAAGAAGAAGAAGAAGAAGAAGAAGACGACGACTAGGCATACAATACTGATGGGACAGTAACCATTTTGCAATGATTTGGTCATCTACACAGGTCCTCTAAACCCATCTTGGCATGTTGCAAATTTCACCTGACACCTCTTATTAAAGGACCAATAATGATGGGATGAGTAGATCAATCAATCAATCAATTAAACAAAGGTTACAAAATTTAGGTGAAACAATAGCCCATCATAATTAGATGCTAAAATAAATTAATGTTCTTTGCCAGGTACAGGGTTGGGAGGAAAGATTGCACTGCCATCTTGTGGCTTTTCAGGATCTTACAGGGGGAGCATTGCTTGAAGGATGGGCCTCCAATAATATTAATAATAATTCAATAATAACAACAAACATCATGTTCGAAGTCAAAAGCTCCAATGCAGTCAGATATGTTTAAATTCCACTGAATTTTCAGCCGTTGTCTTGGATGATTCAAGTGAAAAGTCCACCCAAACCTTTCATTCCCAATCGGTCTGCAAACGTTCTGGAGATGTTTCAGGTTCTGCAACCAAGACTTCCCAAGATGGTCCACCCCTCCACCTTGTTCTTACCTTCTTCTCAAATTCCACGCCCTGTTTCACCTCCCGGGGGTAACCATCAATCAGGTAGCCTTTGGACTGATCTGCTTTGGATAACATGGCGTCCCTCAGCATGTCAAGGACAGTATCCTATGGACAAGGAGATGGGGAAAGGAGTATTTTGCAAATTTCAGAAGAATTCCGGAGCTGTGGATTCACAGAACAGGGAAAGGATCTTGGATTTCATTGAGTTCCCAAATACTGGAATATTTCTAACCCAAGACAATCCAGCATCTGCTCCAGGATTTATTTATACCCCACCTTTCCTCCACTTCACATGGTTTTCTTGCCTTTATTTTCACAACAACCAGTAATTTAGATCAGACATTAGAGAGAGAAGTGGGTTCAAAGCCACCCAGTAGCTAGGTTTGCAAAGCATACCATGTTAGGCTAAAATAGGCCAGTGCAAACATAGCCTCTGGGAGTTTTGCTAACCTAGGTTTATGAATAGACCTAAACAGCCACAAGTTTCAGAGCTCGAGTAGGATTTAACTGGGCTCTCTCTAACCCTCATATTAGAGTGCCTCTAAATACCTCCATGAGAAGGTTTCAACTTCCCAAGGAACTTTCTTCGAGAGCCGAAAAGCTCTAAAAAAATTCCTCCTGATTCTACTTTAAATCTGCTTTCCTCCTATTGCTACTCAATGGTGCCTCTGGTATAACAAACAAAGGGTTTATTTTTCCTTCTGCACAATATATAATTTAAGGCTACCATCCCATTTTTCCACAGTCCTTTTTTCCCCCTCCAGCTAACTCCTACTCTTGCAGCTGGTTCTTGCCCGTGTGGATTTAAACAGAACTGGAGAGCTATCTTGTCAAGATTGCAGGTCCTACAGCGAGGGTGGCCTGAAGGACCTTCAGCGCCCCTCCCAAGCCTGTCATTCAGGCACGTTGCCCATCCTTTGACTTCTGGGGAAAAGCAGAGATTTGGGGAAGGAACGGAAGGAAGGCTGAGCAATATCGCAAGGCAATTCCAGGTCCTGGGAATTTGCGTTGCTACCGTGGTGTGGTGTGTTTGTACATTCGCTTTGGGGCAGGGGGGGTGTTTGGCTTAGAATCATGGACAGCCTGAACTGTGGAGTCAAGCTGCGTTGGGATTTAAGAGCAGGGGGATGGAGCATGCAGAAGCATTGAAGGTTTCAAAAGACCTTTAAGAAACATCAGCTTGGTTCCGCCGTACTCACCAGAGGGACTAACTCTCCTTTTTCCATGATGGCCGAGAGCTTCTTCCCCCTCTCGGAGCCAGAACTGACCTCCGCCCGCAGCAGGTCGCCGGTGGACAAGTGGGTGTAGCCATACTTTTCGACAATCTTCTCACACTGTGTCCCCTTCCCAGAACCTGGTCCCCCTGCAGAGGACAGAAGAGCATTCAGGCGCAGAACTAGGGAAGAAGAAAAACGCTGCTTGGGTGGTGGCTTTCTTCCCAGCGATGGCCGAGACCTTTTTTCGTTTAGGACCAGGCTTCTCGTGGCAGCAGCGTCCCCTTCTTGGGGACTACAACTGCCCAAAGCCACATCTGGCTGGGGTCGGCGATGGCACTGCGCTCGCTACGTTTGGAGAGTGCCCAACTGGATGACGGTTGAGACATTTTACAAACACGATCGTCTAAATGCAAGGAGTATAGAAATACAAACACGGAAATGGGGTTATCTGCTTGGAGTATTTTTTATGAAATGGAAAAACAAGGGAATGAACTCTTAAAAGACCTCTGCGTGGATAGCCAAATCTGTAGGGTTTCTTTTCTTTCTCTGCACCAGAAATATGTTTCATACCTTGTGCTCCCCAGCCTACCCAAGACGCTATCGAGGTCTGCTCGAACCAAAAATTGTTGAGAGAAATTCAATCCCGCCTTATCCCTGCTGAAAAGTCCCTAAAAGCCTTTGTGGAGCCGAAGGAAACCCTTGTGAGAAGGCTTAAGACTTACCCACGACGAAGATGATTTTGTGGTTTTTCAACTTTTCTGCAAGAAAAAAGGGAGAAAATCTGTTACGCTCTGGCGGAGAAGTTGTTTCTTGCTTGCTCATCCGAGGCTCCCATCTCAGTTTGTAAACCCATTTTTAAAAAGGATTACCCCCCCCTGAAAAAGAAAGAAGAAGAAAGAAGAAGAAAGAAGAAAGAAGAAAGAAGAAAGAAGAAAGAAAGAAAGAAAAAGAAAGAAAGAAAGAAAGAAAGAAAGAAAGAAAGGAAGAGAAAGAAAGGAAGAGAAAGAAAGGAAGAGAAAGAAAGGAAGGAAGGAAGGAAAGAAAAGAAAAGAAAAGAAAAGAAAAGAAAAGAAAAGAAAAGAAAAGAAAAGAAAAGAAAAGATCTGAGGATGGAAAAGGTGCGAAAAAAGCACTGATTTATTTGGTCATTACCTTTTCCAGCTCTCACAGTACCATCTTCTATACATGAACACCGGATGCCCATCTTCCCACACCCTCCAGCATCATCCCTTTCCCCCTCACTCAAAAAATAATCCTCTGCTTATCCTTCTTTCTCAACACATTTTTGTTCCAGAGTTTCTGCCCAACTGCTCTCCGTGGCTGGGCAGGGCTTGGCTTTGCTATGGGCCGCGTGGCCAACATAGGTTACCGTAGAGACGGTTGCTACGGCGCAGATGCCAATCCAGAACATCTGGAGGGACTAAGCCTTGCTGGAGGAACTGGGAGCCATCTCAGAAACTTCCAGAGATGGGAGAGGTCATTTTTCTGGGACTACGTGACTTCCCCTTTCTGCTTTCTTCTGCGCTACGAACCCAACAAGACATCTTCCCTGAAAAATTCAGAATGCCACACGAGAGGCCAAACTTCTTTAAGGAAGCCTACTTCACCTGATGGATTTCTAGCTGCCTTCAGAAAAGGGGGCATTTTCAGTTAGGGTTTCAGGACCATCAGCGTTACGAAAGTTGTGGTTGAAGGACAGGTTTCTCTCTCAAGCAGACTTTAGCCAAGGGAGTCCAGGGATTCACAAATATGGCTTTACTCTGGGGCTTTTACGTATTGATGAGATAAAACAGAGCAGATCAAGAAATAAATTTATGGAGGGAATTGGCGCTCTAAGCCGAATTTGAAAAGCACCCGGGTGCTTCTTCTTGTAGCTGGTTCTCAAGATAAAAAAAGTTGCCGAGCTAGAAAATAAATTAAGCGCAAGAGAAGGGCTGAATTACATTTTTGTTTTGCAGTGCCAACCCCCCCCCCTCCCCCCC